GAGAAACGAAAGGCGGGCGACCCACTGGCCCGACGGCCCGCACTCAAAGCTCCGTAAATTCCACAAAAATGGTCTAATCTCGTCAAAATTGCTTCATGGCAGCCGTCGATAGCTCTTCTTCCCATTCGCTTTCTCCCAAGGTTTCAAAGTTTATCTTAACCGCCCGAGAATCGCTGGTTTTCCAGCTCTTGCTTTCCATTTCGGCTCCATTTCGATCCGTAACCGATTATCTTGGCCACAGGATTTGAATTTCTAGCTTAACGACCTCGCCATCGTGACAAAGTCGCCTCCAGCCGTCGAGAGGCACGGGGCATTTTTTGATCATGCAAACTGCACCGTGCCGCGGTGTTTAACTGAAATTAGCGCCTAAAAGCACTGTTAACTGCAAAAACACAAGGAGCAAACAATGTTCGGCTGAATTTAGCGCCTAAAAGCACTGTCAACTGTAGCGAGAGATGGCAACGAGTAACTGACCAATGCCCCGTGCCTCTCGACGGTTGGAGGCGATTTTGTCACGATGGCGAGCTCGTTAAGCTAGAAATTCAAATCCTGTGGCCAAGCTAATCGGTTACGGATCGAAAGGAAAGCATTCTCATACATTGTCTTATCAACGGCTAAAATTGTAACGCAATCGCCAACAGCATAATGTCACGTATTAATCGTATACAACGTCTGGGCCGCCTGTGCTCCCATCGCTTCGGCCGGTTTCGCACTTAGGTGGAAGCCACCGTTCTGAGCGATTGTAAACAGAGTCATGTAACAGTCACGGTAAGTCTACCACCTGTACGTTTCTTTTTGAGTGCCAGCGGTTTTCCAGTTATAATTAAATCTCAACCTGCAACCTGCAACCTACAACCTGCAAATTATACCTGCCGTCGTGCGGCCCTTCTAGGAAATGCCAAAACAAACCCACCCGAACAAGTTCAGAGACAGGCTGCTCGCTTCGTAACTAGGACCTATTCAAGAGAGGAAGGACTGAAGCATTGAATCATCTTAACTGGCCGCCAACACAGAAGAACCGACAGCCAGACTCTGCATGCTCTACAAATATCTTAATCAAGAAGCAGAAGTGACAATTCCGGTTCATCACCAGACCTTATTCCGCACCTGTGGCGCTCACTCCCAGAATTTTATTTAACTACCGCTGGCATCATGCATCCGTTTTTGGCCGACAACAAATACTGATTGGAACAACTTACCCGCTGAGGTAATTACATCCAAATCATTAAGTCATTTCAAGTCAGCTTTGAACAAGACACCGTTGACATAGTTCTCTTTGTTTTTGGACTGCGTGCACTAATTTAATTTTTTTTTTCAACCTATTTGTTTGTTTATTTCCATATTTTCTCAGTTTTCATATTACTTGCGAACCGTTCTGATAGGATATTGTAAGTTAAGAATGTAAATGTAGTTTGGCTCTCTTTATAAAGGCGATGACAGATAAGAGTCCGAAATAGAAGGTGACGACTGATTTAAAAAACGCTCAAACTGACGGTTATCTCAACGTGATTCCAATTTCAATGAGCAATTAACTGAATGGTAAAAAAATAGAGCACACTAAATGTTTCGTGCCTCCTAAGATCCAATCCCCACGTCCATGTCGTAGGAGGTGGAAACAGGCAAAGTAGGGGGTTGCTAGGCAGGGTGATGCATGGTGGGGGGTTAATCTTCCCGAGCCGCTACGGTAGCCATGAAGGCCTGCCTGGATCTACCCTGAAACGTGCTGGCTAACGGGAACCCTGGTGAAGCTGACTGGGCCAATCACCCATCAGTGGATACAAACGATTACAGAAACGGAGACAATACTGAGTATGACCAGCCCGACTCGTGAAGAGGTCTCTTCCGAGAGCTATATGGCACCATCTGGCGAAGCCCTGCCAGGAGCCAGACGGCTGAAATCTCTTCTGACGATGAAGGCTATAACAAAGATTGCGATCTGGAATGTCCGTACCATGTAAAGCTGCACAAGTGGCAAACGAAATGCGCCGCTATGACATCGCAGTGTTCGGCATCTGCGAAAGCAGATGGAATGGATCTTGCTGCATAACACTAGCAACAGGAGAGCAGGTGGCTTACTCTGGGCGTGAGAATGAACAGCATGTACACCAAGGAGTGGCTTTTATGATGAGTAAGTCAGCAGCAAAAGTCTTGATCGAATGGGTCCCTGTGTCACCGAGGATCATCACTGCACGATTCAACTCTAAGGGCAGAAAGGTCACCCTCATAAACTGCTATGATCCAACCAACAACAGCACTGATGAGCTAAAACAAGAATTCTATTCTCCTTGGGGACGTTAATGCCAAAATTGGATCACACAACACTGGAAGAGAGAGGATCATGGGGCGCCATGGATTAGGCTGCATAAATGATAATGGAGACCGGTTCGCCAACCTATGTGCTTTCAACGATCTAGTCATTGGTGGCAACATTTTCTCCCACAAAGCCATCCATAAAGCCACATGGATCTCTCCTGATGGTAGATCATCTAACCAAACTGACCACATTGCAATCGGCAGAAAGTGGAGGAGAAGCCTTATGGATGTGAGAGTCAAAAGAAGGGCAGATGTTGCTTCTGACCACCATCTCCTGCTAGGGACCCTTAAAGGTAAACTTAGGGCCCATCGGGACCTTTCAAGTAGACCACGCTACAAATACAACACCCAAAACCTGAAGAGCAAAGAGATAGCAGAAACATTTAGTTGCTCAGTAAAGAATAGGTATTCAGCCCTTGAATTTGTGGAAGAAGAAATAGACAGTCACTGGATAGCACTGAAACACACTTGGCAGGAGTCCTGCGATGAAGTCGTGGGCAAAAGGAAAAGAACGCAGAAGGAGTGGCTCTCAGCAGAGACATGGAATCTGATTACACAGTGGAAACGCTTGAAAGTCGAAATCAGTAGATGCAATGAGCAAGCTAAGAAGAGCAGCTTAACTTTAATGTACCTGCAACTTAACAAGGACGTAAAGAAAAGTGCCAAGAAAGACAAGAAGGAGTTCTACAATACTCTTGCCACGGAAGCAGAAAGTGCAGCAGGACAGCGAAACATGAAAAGACTATATGACATAACTAGAACAATGTCAGGAAAGAGAAGAAGCCAGTCAAAGCCAGTTAAGAGCAAGGAAGGTGTTACTATCACTACAGAGCAAGAACAAAGGACAAGATGGGTGGAACATTTCCGGGACATTCTGAATAGACCACCCCCCACAGAAACGCCAAACACCACTGCTAATGAAGGGCCTCTAGTCAACGTTAATGTCAACCCACCATCTAAAGCAGAAATTGAACGAGCGCTGAAGCAGCTGAAGAATGGGAAAGCGGCAGGTCCAGATGGCATCCCCCCTGAAGCTCTTAAAGTAGACCCAAACACTACGACAGCCATGTTACACCCGCTTTTCCTTCAGATCTGGGAAATGGAGAAGGTTCCATCGGAATTGCAGAATGGCTATCTTGTCAAGCTGCCAAAAAAAGGGGATCTTGGGCTCTGCAAGAACTGGAGGTAAATCATGCTCCTCTCAATTCCCAGTAAGGTTTTCTGCCGCATTATCCTAGAAAGGCTGAAACATGCCCTAGATCACAAACTACATTGTGAGCAGGCAGAGTTTAGGAAAGACAAATCTTGCACCGATCATATTGCATCCCTGAGGATAATGATCGCACAATCTAAAGAATGGCAGACTCCGTTATACATGAACTTTATTGACTTCGAAAAAGCTTTCGACGGTGTTGACAGGAACGTCACCTGGCAACTCATGGGTCATTATGGAGTCCACCAAAGTTTATTAGGCTGAGTCAGGAGTTATATGAAGCCTCATCTTGTCAAGTCATTCACATCGGGAAATTGTCAGAGCCATTTAAGATGAACACGGGAGTCCGTCAAGGCACCTTGCTGCCACCAATGATCTTCATAATGGTCATGGACTGGATTATGAGAGAGGTAGAGAGTCAGGGTAAAACAGGTATACAATGGACACTTACATCTCAACTCCATGACCTGGATTATGCAGATGACATATGTCTTCTATCTCAGAAACCGCAACATATGCAAACCAAGACCGACCATCTGGCACTGGTTGCAGAGAAAACTGGCCTCAGGATCAGGAAAGAAAAGACCAAAGTCATGAGAGCTAACAGCAGACAGTGGGAGAAGATCAAGCTGAAAGATATGGAGGATGTCCACAGCTTTATGTATTGAGGGAGTATCGTCACATCAGACGGAGGAGCGGACAAAGATGTAAAAAGCAGGGTAGGGAAAGCCAGGCAGGCCGTTAATGCCCTAAGACCAGTGTGGAACTCAACATCCGCAAGCATTTCCTGGAATTTAGGATCTGGGGCCCGTTTCTCGAAAGCTCCGGAAACTTTTCGGGCCCGTAAGGCCATTTTTAGTTCATCTGTATCTAAAAACGGAAACGTATACGCCTGAAACCTCTTGTATGAAGGGAACCTCTGTTCATATTAAGAATATGTGAATAAAACAACTCTGTAATCGTAAGGTTCGAGATTTTGCTATGGCTTTCCGGGCCCGAAAAGTTCCCGGGACTTTCGAGAAACGGGCCCCTGGAAGGGATTTGAGGTGGTTAAAGATGGACCATACCTAAATTCGCAATTAGAAACCGTTCAGAACCGTTCTTACTGTCCTGATATCCTCCGATGTCACTAACATTGTGACTCGGCCAAATTTGGGTAAGGTAAATACCTAGTCGTACCCTTTTTGTAGGCGCGGTGGCCTCATGGTTAGTGTGCTCGTCTCCGGATCGAGCGGTCCAGGTTCGAGCCCTGGCCGGGGACATTGTGTTGTGTTCTTGGGCAAGACACTTTACTCTCACAATGCCTCTCTCTACCCAGGTGTATAAATGGGTACCGGCGAACTTGATGCTGGGGGTAACCCTGCGATGGACTAGCAGCAGGCGGGCGGGCGGGCTGGCTGGCTGGCTGGCTGGCTTGCTTGCTTGTTTGCTTGATTGGTTGATTTGTCACTGGCGGGTAAAGGTTTAAATAACGATAGCATGCCGAGCGGCGTTTCCATGAATGTACAGTGTGAAGAGTAAGGACGAAGACCAACCTTGAAACTAACGTCATCAGGTGCTATGTTCTGTGATGCTTTGAGCCTTCTAATCTCAGCTCTCTTCTTGCGAACGTGATCTAAAGCATTATTTAATCTCTGTGAAGACAATTGTTTCTGCTCAACAGCCTCTTTTCGTAATTTGATCACGTGATCCTCGAGTGTTTTGTTGTCTTTAATCAACTTGGCGTTTTCTTCCCTTGTGCGTTCCAACTCCTCTTGCATTACATTCATATCAGCCACCATTTGCTGAATTCTTGAATTCTTCTCCAGCTGGATTAGCCATCACCGCATTTTTTTCTGCCCCCAGATCTTCTGGTTTGTTTTCCTTTTGACACTGACTGCCCATTATATTTGACTGTGTCCACTTTTCCCTTTCTTTGTTCAGACCTCGGTATGTTTCGAAGCATGTAGCATTTTCTTCTAAATCCTTTGTCTCTTGTACCAGTCTGAATGCCCTTTCGGTGGAAATTTGTTTATTAACTGAGTTCAAATCTTTCCTCCAACCCGTGTATCCGTGTTTTAAAGCTATCATCTTCTCCCTCTTTAACTTGAATATCAAGATTTGTTTTTGTAAGTTTCTTATCCTTCACGCGTAGTAAAACACTTTGGCCATCCAAATCATTTTTGAGTTATTTTTTTGTAAAAAAAATACCTCTTAGTCGGCGCGTCGGGTCTGTTATGGACGGGTCAATGGGTGAGTGAGTGAGTGAGTGAGTGAGTGAGAGATGTATGTACGTCACACCAATCAGATTGGATCTACTATGAACAGCCAATCACATTTCTTGTTGTAAAGGTAAATGGTATGTGAGAAACACAAGGTATGTATAAACACAAGGACTTTGGTAATTGAAAAATAAAGAGTGACGTGTATGTTGC